AATTAGGTCGAAATTCAATTAGAAAACAAATTCAAAAACAAAATCAAACAAACCTTTTCGAAAACAAATTTAAACCAGAGCTCCAACCAAAAGGGGAAGTTATGCTTTGAGGACTGGTCCCCCGCTCCCCGTTATCTTTCGAATGTTTTTTAAATTCGGTTGAAATCTTTTTGATTACAAACGACTTTTCGAATTTTGTTGACTCGATTTTGAATTCGGTTGAACCAATTTCGAATACGAATGACTTTTCAAATTTGGTTGAACTGTTTTTAAATTGAATTTCAATACGAATTACCAAAACGAATCCCGAAAACGAATTGAACAAATTTACCGAATCCAACAGCACGAAATGTGTTATATTTCGAAACAAAACCAATTTTTTTGTTTTCCACATGTCTATTGTGAACGTCACCTGCCCAGTATGGGCACCATTCAGAGAATTAATTTTTCCTAATGAATGCAAAACATTCTCAGATTGGACAAGATGAAGAGTGTGGCATCACCTCCCCGCCTCTTCACCTCCTCCATTCAGATAACGCTTTGCATTCAGTTAAGACAATGCAACATAATTCCTGAAGCTCTGAAATCTGAACTCAAGCTGGATTACATTTAGTTTACATTTAGTTTAGTATTAGAATAGGTATAGACTGCAGAGAGAGAGAAAGATATCATATTACCCCGGTACAAGTCATTAGTAAGACCTCATCTGGAATATGCAGTTAAGTTTTGGGCACCAATTCACAAAAAGAACATTGGGAAACTGGAGAAAGTACAGAGAAGGGCAACCAAACTGTTAAGAAGCATGGAGGAGCTCAGCTATGAGGAAAGATTAGAGGAACTGAATTTATTCTATCTTGTGAAGAGGAAATTAAGGGGGGGATATGATCAACATGCATAAATGCATCAGTGATTCATATAGTGAGCTTGGTGTAGTTATTCACCCTGAGGTCATCACAAAGGACAAGGGGGCACACTTTAGGTCTGGAGGAAAAGAAACGTAATCTCCAAACACGGAAAGGTTTCTTCACAGTGAGAGCTGTGAAAATGTGGAATAGACTCCCTCAAGAGTTGGTTCTGGCCAGTTCAGTGGATTGCTTTAAAAAAGGCCTGGATTCTTTCTTAGATACACAGAATATAACTAAATACTAACATTTATAGGTAAAGTTGATCCAGGGAATATCAGATTGACTCTCGGGGGATCAGGAAGGAATTTTTTCCCTGCATGAGCAATTTGGATCATGCTTTGCTGGTTTTTTTTGCTTTCCTCTGGATCAACTGTGTGTATAAGATTATAACTTGTGTTTTTGGGGTTTTTTATGGTTGAACTGGATAGAGTTTAGTCTTTTTTTCAGCCAGACTAATTATGTAACTAAAGAACTGTGTATCATAAACCATTCCATTTTTTATTTTTCCTAAAACACTATTTTAACTTTTTTTTTTTTGCACCCTATCACTGCTAAGCTCCTCCAGCCTCTTTCAGACACTTCCAGCCTACATGCACTCACTACTGCATCAGCTGCACATCATTGCCCAGTACCAGCTTACTGATAGTGACAACAATGGGACATACCAGGGCAATGTGTGTCAACACAGATGCATAAGGGGTACATGTGTGTTAGGGTAATTAGGTAACCGGAGCACAACTGGGAGCCAGTTGGTACCCCATTACAGAAAGTGCCCGAACAAAGACTTTCATGGTAGGGTCACCAGGTATTTTTTAGTGCAAGGTGCAGATTTAAAAAGTATGAAAACAACCTGGTTGCTGTCAGAGTCGGTTCACGCTATAGAAACATATTCCAGATGCGTTCCGGATGGTTTTTGCATGTGAGTTTTTGATGCATTTTTATGTGTTTTTGATGCTTTCCGGTTCACTTTTTCCCCCTCTCTTTTTCTTCAATTTAAATAGGGACATGTGCATTCCAGTGCGTTTATGCTGCGTTCTGGTGCAGTTTTTATGAATTTTACCCCATTCCAGTAGCAGGAAAAATGCAGCCTGTTCTACTTTTTTTTTTCTGCAACTGGAACGCACTAGAACTGCAAGCACTGATGTGAACTATGACACTGACAACAATATGACCTACTTTCTGTGTGTTTTGGATGTAGCTATAAGTACAAGATGACCTTAGGGGTCCAGCTCTATTTTTCCGCTTTCCTTAACCAATGAGAACAGCAATGAAAATGTAAGAAAAGCTTTGACTCTTACCCACAATTGTGTAAAACTACAAAAGTGTTGTCTGGTGTTGGGTTTTAGGCTGCATGAGTTTTGTAAAGAACAGGATACCACTTGGTTGTTGAATAATGGGAAACTCCTAATACATCTGGCGTTATTATTTTGCTGCAATCAACCTTCTCATTTCCCCATCACACACTGCTTTTTTTTGTAACGTTTTACCTTTGTTTTAAGTCAGGGGTGGGAGACAACAGACAGTTTTGCATTTACAGAACAAGCAGCCACAGTTAGCAGACCGATTAAATCTTTGAGTGGGAATCATTGTTCTATGGCTATTATTCTTAGATTTTAGTCATAGGGAAGTTGATTGTGCCTTCATGTCAAGCTACCATTAAAGTGTTTTCAAAGAGCTGCATGTCACACCATTAACTAAACATTAAAGCCCCGTACACATGATGAGAATACTGGACGAATGATTGTCCTTTTTTTTTTTGCATGCTAGTCTCATGTGGAAAGTGAAGAGGTCTCTAAAGTTATAAAAATTCTTGTACAACAGAAAGAAAATTCGAAAGTGATGTAATGTATTTGTATTGTATTTTCGGATGAAAACTGTATTAATTAACTGCTTCCGAACCGCAATGTGCAGGGCAGCAGCTACAGGCAAAGCGATGTACCCGTACGTTGCTCTGGCTGTACCAACACAAGGGGGGTGCTGCGCACCCAAGCGGGCGTGCAATGCTCCCTCACTGCGACTGCTGTGTAATGTAGACACAGCAGAATGAAGATCCCGTTAAACGGGGCCTGGTGATCATGCAATCGCTATGCGATCAATCTCTTTCATAACAGCTCTGCTTCTCTTCCTAGTGAGCTGTGATTGGTCCACAGCTGTCACATGATACATGGGGCCAATCACAGCACCCTGTACCTGTACAATGTACAATGGTAACATTGTACTATTCTGATAAAAGTATTTAAAAAAAAATAAAAGTAAAAGAAAATTTAAAAATACCATACTGAGAATTTTTTTTAAAACTACTTGCCAGCAGCAGCAGCTCTTGGCAAAGCAACGTAATCTTGCGTTGCTTCCTATTTTGGGGTGTGAACGCCCCTGTGTCGGTCCAGGGAGAGAAGATAGAACATGGCACTGAGTAAAAGCACTACATTTTACACACACACATTCGATTAGCACATTTAACCATTTGAACTCCCCTATTAACCCTTTGATCACCTCGTCACCCAGCCAGTGCCATTAGTACAGTGTCAGTATATACTGTAGAATTTTTCACTGATCACCGTATTACTGCCACTAGGGACATCAGATAGCGTCAGGGTCAGTTTATGCCCCTCCCAACCAGGGTCAGCTAGCTAGCGATAGATTTCCCACACACTATCTCACTCACACTATAGGTCGCTGATCACCGCCATTACTAATATAGTGTTTTTACAGATAAATATATTGATTACGTACAGAACTATACTAGTGCCTCCTTTGTATAGTGTCCCCAAAAATGCAGAGTTAGCAGGAGCAGCCCCATTCGCTGCCAGCATGAGCGTTTAGCCCCTTCGCTGTTTTTCACAGAAGATTTGTACCAATTGATTGTGGGCCAAGGCAATTTATACGCACAACAATACATCGCCGCCCACCCAAATTCAGCTCTTGCCAGACAATTCGCATGGAAATCTATCACGGTTTCTGAATTTAAAACTTTTTTGGGTCTTGCATTCAACATGGGCATTACAAAAAGAATGAATTGTAGTCATATTGGTCCACAGACCTGATTCATCGTATGCCCGTGTTCTCTGCTGTTAGATAAATGCCCAACATGGGCCAGCAATGTATTGGCATGTTGCTGGACTTTGAGTGGTTATACTGGGATGATGTCTGCAGCTACAGGCATCATCCTGGTATCGTTTTTTTCAGCTGGCGGTCAGCTTTCATGTAAAAGCAATCCTAGTGGCCAATTAGCTGCTGCATATTTTTTACAACCCCTCCTGCTGCCTTCCGCAGTTTTCTTGGGCTCTCCAGTCCCACAGGGGAATCCAAGAATGCAGCTGGCAGATCTGCTACTTGACTGTAGAGCTGATCAGAGACCAGAATGACTCCAATCTTCTCTATAGTCTAAGGCAGTGATGGCGAACCCGTGGCACGCGTGCCACAGCCGGCACGCCGAGTCTTATCTGTGGGCACGCCAGGAGAATACCGTATTTTTCGCTCCATAAGACGCACTTTTTGTCCCCAAAAAAAGGGGGGGGAAATGTCAGTGCGTCTTATGGAGCGAATATAGAGCGGCCGGTCCGGTATTTCCACCGCCGCCGTGTCAGAATACCGGGCCGGCCGCTCAGCTCTGCAGTGGGACCGTACCTGTCCCTCTATCCAGCGGCGCGCTGTCTTCCTGGCTTCTGTAGTGTGCGTGACAGCCGGGTCCCAAGTGCGCATGCGCAAGAAGCAGTGCTCTTTGTGAATGGTAAGGCGGTACCTGGGACACATGACAGATCCCAGAAGCCGCCGGACCAATCACAAAGCGCAGCGCTTCTCGCGCATGCGCACTGGGCATCCGGCTGTCCGACGAGCGCCCACACTACAGAAGCCGGGAAGACAGCGCGCGGCTGGATAAAGGAACAGGTAAGATAAAAAAAAAACTCTGCGGAAGTAAGAGCGGGTACCTGTCAAATTCAGGTACCCGCTCCCCCTCCCTCCCCAAAGGTCAGCAGTCATCTGTACTGTCCGCAGTCTCTGGTCATCTCCTGTACTGTCCGCAGTCTCTGGTCATCCCTGTGCTTTCCGCAGTCTCTGGTCATCTCCTGTACTGTCCGCAGTCTCTGGTCATCTCCTGTACTGTGTCCGCAGTCTCTGGTCATTCCCTGTACTGTCCGCAGTCTCTGGTCATCTCCTGTACTATGTCTGCAGTCTCTGGTCATCTCCTGTACTGTGTCCGCAGTCTCTGGTCATTCCCTGTACTGTCCGCAGTCTCTGGTCATCCCTGTACTGTGTCCGCAGTCTCTGGTCATCCCTGTACTGTCCGCAGTCTCTGGTCATCTCTTGTACTGTGTCCGCAGTCTCTGGTCATTCCCTGTACTGTCCGCAGTCTCTGGTCATCCCTGTACTGTTCGCAGTCTCTGGTCATCTCCTGTACTGTGTCCGCAGTCTCTGGTCATCCCTGTACTGTGTCCGCAGTCTCTGGTCATCCCTGTACTGTGTCCGCAGTCTCTGGTCATCTCCTGTACTGTCCGCAGTCTCTGGTCATCCCTGTACTGTCCGCAGTCTCTGGTCATCTCCTGTACTGTCCGCAGTCTCTGGTCATCTCCTGTACTGTTTGCAGTCTCTGGTCATCTCCTGTACTGTGTCCGCAGTCTCTGGTTATCTCCTGTATAATTGAAAGCTCTGTTATTGTGTTTTTCTTTTAAGACAAAAGCTGTTAATTAGTTTGCACTACTGTACGAGTTGTTTTTTCTAAACCAAAAGCTCGATATTCAGGTTTCATTGCAGTGTTGGCACTTTGAAAGAAATAAGTTGGTTTTGGGTTGCAGTTTGGGCACTCGGGCTCAAAAAGGTTCGCCATCACTGGTCTAAGGAATCGAAAGCTACAAGCATTTCATTACTTCAGTTTCACAGGATATAAACAGCTCCATTTGTAATTGGGAAATCACCAATCTTGGTGAGATTAGATAATGTAAGGGCAGAGGAGATATCTAGAGTCTAATAGACCCTAGATTTCTCAAAAAAGAATACCTGTGAATGCCTATTGCAGTCACAGGGGATATTTACATTCCCTGTGATAGCAAAAAACTGATTAAAAAAAAAGAAAAAAAAAAGAAAGGGACAGTGTAAAAGTAATTAAAAAAATAAAAATAATGAAAAAACCCACAAAAAACCCTTGCCCCTCTGTGCACGTGTTGACCCTGTGACGGTATGTAAACAGCGGTTGTACCATGCATGTGAGGTATCACTGGGAATGTCAGATCGAGAGCAGTAATTCTAGCACTAGACCTCATGTGTAAATATAAATTGGTGACCTGTAAAGGCTTTTAAAGTGTTGCCTATCGATAATAAAAATGTATGTAATTTGTTGCCATTGCACCGGCATGCGCAATTTTATGTTTAAATATTTTTTATTGAGTTTTAAACAGGGTACAACAGGATAAGATAAATTGGTTCATATTCATACAGTATAATCAGCATAGTACAGGTCTTTGAATTTTAGTACAGTAGAAGTGTACACAAGTCAGTTGCATGTGATTATCAAACCGAACACTGACAATCAAGTATGGTGTATGATGTAGAATCTTGAGAGAGTATGGCATGGGTAGAGGAGGATGGGGCAGCACAGTGTTTAAGTAATTAGCACTTCCCCCTGGCAGTACTAGGGTTGTTGGTTCGAATCCCAAGCACGGCACCACCTGCCTGGAGTTTGCATGTTCTCCCTGTGCCTGCGTGGGTTTCCTCCGGGTACTCCGGTTTCCTCCTACACCCCAAAGACATGCTGAGAGGTGAATTGGCTCCTGTCTAAATTGGCCCTAGCATGTGTATGTATGAATGTGAGTTAGGGACCTTAGATTGTACACCCCTTGAGGGTTAGGGACTGATGTGAATGTACAATATATATGTAAAGTGCTGCGTAAATTGACGGAGCTATATAAGTACCTGAAATAAAAATAAATAAAAAAATAAAATAGGAGAAGGAGGGTGGTGATGGGTTAAGGTCTAGTAATCTAAACAGATTGAACATGAGGAGGAATGAACTGTATACCAGTCAGGATATTGTTAATGAATTGTATTTCGTAGTTATGGGCTATCAGCATTGGACTGTACAATTTGGATTGAATGACCACATTGACCAGGTATATTTAAATTTGGGATAAGAAAAGTTTTTGAGGGCAAATCTTTTTTCCATTTTGCACTGGAAATTTAAATCATTAATCAACATAGTGAGAGATGGTGTAGTCATAGAGTTCCATAATTTAGTGATATTATTTTTTGCTGCATATAGTATGTGGATTATTATGGTGCGTAAGTCATGGGGGAATTTTTCTACTTCTAAGTGTAATAGTGCTAGGGTGGGGTTAAGACTAATTTGTCTCCCAGCTACTTCAGAGATTAGATGAACACTGTTCCAGAAGGATCTAATGGATTTGTAGGACCACATTATGTGGAACAAGGGTCCTGGAGTCCCACATTGTCGCCAGTAAAGTGTAAAATGGATAGAATAATGATAGTCTAGTGGGGCTTAAGTATCATTGATGGAGATTTTTTAGATATGATTCCCAATGTGTACTGCAATGTAAGGATTTATAAGTAAGTTTTTTGCCATATTTGTTCAGTAATAGGTGTGGATAAAAGTCTTTCCCAGTTTAGTGTGGAGGATGTTTGTTAACTAAATCTCATATTAGATAGGTATGAGTAGAAAATGGACATGCCTTTACCTGGGTATTTAGAGTTGTTAAAGAATTGGTGAGCACTGTGTGGGAGAGAAGTAGTTGGGGTTAGGTTATTATGTGTATACAATGGGTGATCCTCGTATGCGTAAAGCATTCTGTGATGGGTAGGGAGAATTGGTTTTGGAGGGTATGAAAAGAAGTTAGTGTGTTATTTGTAAAGAGATATAATAAGGTCTGGATTCCTCATTTTTCCCATTGCGTTAAATCTAATGAAGGCATTAAGGAACGTAGAGTATTTATAGGGGGTGAGAGTTGTTTAGGGTCTGTAAGTTCGCTTTTCAGAAGATCTTGCCAGGCCTCTAGGGAGGCTTTAATACATGGATGTTTTATGGGGTAGACAGTTCTGTGTGTGGGTTGTAGGAAAAGGAGGTTTTGTATTTTTTTAGCAGGTGCAGCAGTCGAGATTCCATCATAGACCATGTTTTCTCCCCGGTTGGTAAGCCTGCTGCGCCCCTGTTCATGGGGCATATTAGTAAGTTAGTGGAGCATCTGGGCTTTTTGGAGTCCCAAACAAATTGAGCAAAATGTTTTTGTATTTTGGAGAAGAAGTTCAAGGGAACTGATATGGGGAAGGTTCGGAAGATGTACAGTACTTTGGGTAGTGTGAACATCTTTAGGACTGCAACCAGGCCTTATTTAGACAGACCGAAGGTTTTGATGGATAGAAGGTCTTTTGGAAGGGTTTGGAGGAGCAGTTTGTGGTTGGATGCATATAGTTGGTACAATATCGGTTAATCCCTAAGTATGGGATTGATTGGTGTTTCCATAAAAAAGATAGTTGTTTAGAGAGATTGTGTTGAGTTTTAGTTGGTGTGTATAGATTTAGAATCAGGGATTTGGATTCATTGAGTTTATAGTAGGAGACCTCAGCATATGAATGGAGGATTTTACAAATTATGGGGAGCGATTGGAGTGGATTGGTTACTATTAGTATGATTTTGTAATGGAACCGACCCCAGACTGCACTTGGGTACTTCCGTTAGAATACCGCTTCCCTTTCCGAACACCGACAACAGACACCACAGCAGACCATACAAGACTAGACGACACCAATCTCGAAGTAATCCAGAAGGTAGACTACTTTATTTCAACACAGATACAAGATATATACACTCAAGGGACAGTGCCCCCTCCCTGCATAATGACACAGGGCGGGGCAATCTACATTTAGTAACAAGAGACAGACAGATATTCAAACTTCACACCAGCAGACAGTCCCATCAGGAGGGAGGGCTGCTGGAGACACCCCCACTAAGCTAATACACATAAACACAAACATCCCATAATAGTTTGCTCCCAAGGATGACAAACAATAGAACAATGGGATGCAGCAGCAAAACACCAAACAATCCACACCCCCACCCCACCCATCTCCTAGACATGTCTACACAATATTAGGACAGATCATCCTGTACCCCTAACAGGCTGATTTACACGTAAGAGGGATATGGGGAGCTGAGACAGGGGTCTCCACACCTCTCCAAAGTGAGCTGGGTTCCATGGGCCCCCCACCCAAAGTGACTCCCGTCACAGATGTTGTCTGCGAACAGGCTGATTTTATGTTCGTTCTAATGTTGAGTAATACCAGAGAACAGGGGTTCTTTTCTAATTTTAGATGCTAAAGGTTCAATGAGAAGAGCAAAGGCAAGGGGGGATAAGGGGCAACCTTGTCTAGTGCCATTTGTAATGTTGAATGGTTTGGATAATGTCCCATCTGTGAGTACTTTAGCTGAGGGAGATGAGTATAGAGACATAATAGCTGTTTGTATCCAGCCTGTGATCCCAAATTTATTTAGAACAGATTGCAACCCCAATGTATGCGATCAAACACCTTCTCTGCATCCAGGGAGAGGAGCAGAGAAGGTGGTTTAGTGAGTCCAAGGTGGTGTAGAAGGGAGCGTATTCTCCTGGCTGCGTCTGGGGCCTGGCGACCTGGTATAAAGCCTACCTGGTCTGGGTGGATCAATTTAGGGATAAATGGGAGTAGTCTGCGTCCTAAAATTTTTGCAAATAATTTCACATCTGTATTGATGAAGGATATGGGTCTGTAGTTTTGGACAGAGTGGGTGTCTTTGCCGGGTTTCGGTATGGTCGTTATAATGGACTGTAACATTTCTGTGGGCAAGGAGCCTGAGGATGTGGCATAGTTAAAGAGTTTGGTTAGGTAGGGAGATATGTTAGAGGCAAATTGTTTGTAGTATTCGTTTGTGTATCCATCTCCTCCAGGGGATTTATTCAGAGGGAGAGTTTTAATAGTTGTTTAGATCTCTTTGGTCGAGATCGGTTCAGAGAGGGTTTGAAGTTGGGGGGGAGAGAGTTGTTGTAAGTTTACTGATTGAAAAAATTGTTGTATGAAGGAGGGGGACGGTTGGACAGTGTCTTTGTTATCTTTAAGGTTGTATAGGGATTGGTAGAAGTCGGCAAAGGCATTTGCTATATCTAGCAGGTTTGTTTTAAGAGTGATAGAAATTGGGTGAAGGACCGAGGTAATAGTGATCCAGCTTTGTTACCTAAGGAGTAGTACTTTGCTTTTATTTTTTATAAGATTGAGCTCATATTTGTATAATAGTAGGAAGCGTAGTTTGTTCCTATCTACTGTCAGGAATACAGAATTTTTGGGGTTTGGATTTTTTTGTTTAATTCTTCTTTGAGATTAATACAGGTAAGGAGCT